CCCAGTGCTGCAGCACGTGTCCTACTGATGCTCTAGGCTGTGTTGGCTGACTTGGTCTCCACTGAGAGCAGTTGGATACCTTCCAAGACCTGGATCTTATCTGCTCCTCTGTGGCCTGAGGCCTAGGGTAAAACCTGGGCAAGAGTTCTGCTTCTTGGGCACACTGGAGTGAAGATAATTTCTGCAGAAAGCAGTTGTTTCTGAGCCTATTCAGAGACTTTAATGGGGCCTAATGCTCAGTCTTCTCTGCCAGAGCATGGTCTACTTCTTTGATGTAACTTTTCTAGCTTAAAGCAGTGCTGCATGGATGCTGAAAGCCCACGCTCCTAAAATAGATCGAGTAGAACAAGCACTTCACTGCTGACTCCTCTTCAGGAGGAGAGGAGAGAGAAGGTAACAAAGAGCAGATGGCAGGTATTAGTCATATCACCTAATTTATCTGAACACCTCAGACACCATCACACAAAGGTGGTGCAGGAACCCAGAGGGAAGGGATCCTCCTAACAGACCAGACTGGGTGTTGCACAGGATACACAGGCAGAGGGGGCCTGAGGAAAGGAGGGGGTTTGCAGCCAAATGCTAAACCAAGAAGAGTATGTTCACACAGAGCTATGGCCAGAGCTACTTATACTTGCCCAGTTTTCCAAGCCATTCCCTCATGATTGACAAAGCCTCAGAGCATCACTCCTTGGAGCTCCCTTGCTCATAGCGCAGTTCCCTCTGCAAAATGAGTAGAACAAAGGTCCAGCACTCCAGAAATAACTGAATTCCTCCAATTTCAATCAGCTGGAATGGCCTTATTCTAGCTCTTACTGTAATAAATGCAGTACAGAAGCTGCTTGCTGTTTTCACACAGTATCTAAGTGGCCAGTGTGCACCTTGCAGTCGAGTTGGGCTGGCTCAGCATCCCCTCCCTGCTCCAGGTCTCTGGCCCTGGCCCAGCTGGCAGTGGGCTCTTGGGGGGCCCCTGAGATGCTCCTGCCTGCTGGTGTGCTGGGAACACAGTGTGTAAATGCGACATAAAATCTGTTCAGTCCTTTGTACATCAGTGGCTTCCAGCAAACTTGACACCACGGAGCAAGTAGGGCACTGAAGGACCTGCAGAGGTGGCTGGGGAAGTGCTCGAGTTGCATTGTTTGTGTAATTACTTGCTTCAGACCCAGCCTGGCCAAAGGGCAGCTGTGGGCACGTTGGAGGGTGGGAAGGTACAAATGTGGGCCCTTGACTTCCCTGTGCAGAGACGGGGCCCTCAGGAATCACAGCATTGGTGTGATCTCCCTGCAGAATGGCTGTGTCTTGATTTTTATTTTTTTCCCCCGTTTGTTTTGGGGTTTTGTTGGTTTTGCTGTTCTAAATCTTCAGCAGCAGAGGCTGAATGTGTGGCCTCCTCCTTTTTCTCCTCTTTTGTTTCAACTTTTTGGCAATAATTTCTAAAGAGCTGCTCTGCTGGAGTTACTCCCATCATTTTTCACACTTGTGCTCAGCCCCTTGCAGAAGCCAAGCACCCCACAGGCCTCTGAATTACAAATACCACTTTGGTGGCACCTTGGATCTTTGGGCTTCAGCTTTTGCCAAACACCTAATGAATGTCTGAAGCGAGTAAAACACCTCTTCTGTGAGCTCTGCTGATACATAAGGGGTTAAATGAAGCTCTGTTTATTAATGTTGATGCTTTAAATTGTGCCAGAACGTTTGAAAACGCTGAGCGGACAGGGCAGTAAACACCGTTAAACGACAATACTGTTCAATATTTGCTGTTAATTGAGAGAGGCAGCAGCTGCTGGTATGCAGCTCCAGCCAGGATGAATTAGTAATGAGTCTGTAACTCTGGTTTTGTTTTTTTTTTCTGGTTTAAGGTTGCATCAGCCCTTTACAGTTCAGTGACATGCTTGGGATAGAAATAAAAATCATAGCAAGCCCTAAATGAAGATTTTTGTTTTGGTTTTTGTTTTCCAGTGAGTTGTCATGGAGCTGTGGTGTCAGTGATAAATTTGGCAGCGGTGATAAAACTGCCTTGTGTTTAAGGACCAAACTTAAAGATTTTGGGTTAGCTTTTCCATCCTGTGTGGCAGCCAGTGGGAATACAGCAGGCAGAGCAAGCTCCTCCTTTGCAAGAAAGCACTTTTGTTGGCTTCTCACTGGCTTCCAGAGACATTTTCAGTTAAACCAGGAGTTCTGGTTAACGTTTCCTTGCTGGCACTGCTGCAGGTCGTGGTGTGTGAGAGAGTTCTGTCCCTCACTGAAGGGTGGCAGCAGGAAACACTAATCCGACGTTTCCCTTGTCCTTTCCATGCACTCTTGCCATGCCTGTGTGTTGAGTTTAACCTTTGAAAACTTGCTGATAAGCTGTTAATCAGCCACCAGATAAAATGACAAACCCTCCCACCTTGCTGGGTTGGGGTAGGGACTTCCCAAGGCTTCAGGAACATCATTAATCCGGAGCAACCAGGCTGGGGGCAAAGTTTCCTCTCAGAAGAAACCAGCCACAGCCCCTTTCATGCTGCTTATGCAACCCTCCCTGTGAGTGTTTATTTTGCCCAAAACGTTGTATTTTGAGCTCTAGATGTGATTGTGAGAGAGTGCAAGCCCCTGTTCTGGTGGTTATTAGCAGATCTGAAGTGGGGCACAGGAAATGAAATTCCAGCTCTGTGGAAAACAATGCCAACAGCCCTATTGATTTCAGCACAGCTCGGCTTTCACCACAAGTAGAAGAATTTTTGAGGCAAATAATGTTTTGTTTGTTCAGTTCTTTAGACAAAAATCCATCTGCAGGGGTTACTGCTTGAATCCAAATACTCACAGTTCTGCTGGTATTTGGGTAGGATGAGAAACAGGCGATTGAGAGAATTCCTTGGGTCCAGGTTGATTATGTTAAAGAGGAAAAGAAATCCCAGCAGCCAGTGGTGTTTGTAACCCCGTTCCCAGCGGTGTGACTTCTGTGTCACACACCTGTGGGGGTTGTGTTTGTTCTCAATAGCACTTTTTTACCCAGTAAGTGGTTTTTGTGCATTCTTAGGAGCTCGAAGCTGCCACACACCCTGCTGGCTTCTGGATTGGATTATGGGTGCAGGGAATCTTCCAGGCTGGATGTGGGAAGCAAGTGTTAAAAGCCAAGAGAATGCTGTAGAAGGTGGTGGTAAATGGAAGTGCAGCAAGAGCTGAACTCATCTGCTGATAAAAGTCCTTCAGCCCCAGAAGTCCCTTCCTTTTTAGGGCACTGACCATTCCCACCTTGGCTGCCAGTTATCAACTGATGCTTTAAAATCTGTCCTTAAAAGCTCTATTTTTTTCTTGTGAAATTCAGTAATTTATTCCAGTGGCATTCAGCCAACTTTGGGCATCTGGTGTCTCATGTTTTTTATGAACATCTCTCCAATTTTATGTGCTGTTTTCTATATATATATATATATATATATGAACTGTGTTTAAAGGAATAATATAATCAAATACGTTTTTTCCTTTTTTTGTTTTTTATTTTTTTCCAAGTCTGTTTCATCTGTAGTATTGCTTACAATGCTTACATTGCTCACAATATTTGTTTTATTTAAGCAAGAAGATAAACCTTGTGTTTACAGGCACTGTTCCTGTCATAAAGTAGTGGTAAAAATTGTAATCACTGGCTTTTGGGACTTTTTAAAATTGACTTAGTAGAACCATGTAATTTTCATGTAAACAAAGGCAGATATTTACATTGTTATTATATAAAAAAATAAACTCTAAAGTTTGGCTAGTAAAGCTCTTAAAATACGTCTATGTTTGCTCTGGGTTTTATTTGGAAATTATTCTGTAATTAAAATGGTTAATACAAGGCTGGTACAGGGCAAATTGGTCCTTTCCTGTGGAATAATATTGCTACATCATCATCCTCCTGCTGCCCAAATAGAGCCTCTGAATGTAGCCTAACCTGGACCTCACAGGCTTTTACTTCTCGGGGATGTGGAACTACCTGTCCTGTTTTCATGGCAAACTGGAAGGGATAAGGAGAGCCTTAATACAGCGCTAAAAGGAAGTGACAGTGGTGACAAGACAAGTGTTTTTCTCAAATACAAATGGCTCTCGCTCCTACTTCTCCAAAGAGTTAGAATAACTAAACTTCTAAAATGTGGGGAATGGCCTTGAGAGCAGCTCAGTTGTGGTGCAGAGCATGAGGCAGGTGGTGCCTGTTTCTGCAAGGCCACGTGGATTTTGTTGTCTAAAGTCTCTTAATTCTGGCAAGACACTGGTGCTGGTATTTCTGAATCCCTTCCTCAGTGCTGCAGTAATCTGGTTGTGTCTGATGATGGATACAGGGAAAACAATGTGTGTGGGTAGGGATAATCTCTTTTTAAGACCAGTGAGTTTAGTGTTTGCAATAAAGTTCTGTAATTTCAAGGTGTTGATTAATTTTATGAGGAGCTGGGCTAAGTCTTGCAGCCTGTTAGATTTGTGTGGGGTGGGAAGAAGATGCAGTAGGCTCAGGATTGGAAATCTCAGTATTTGTTGCCTCTCTCCTTGCCTGTTTCTGGTAGTACCAGGAATAATGGTGTTCTGAGTTGTATATATGTAGGAGGGCTGTAAAAAGTTATGCTTTTCCTAAAATTTGCTTAAAATTAGTAAAACAAATAACTTGGAGTTTAGGTATGAAATCAAGTGTAAAATATCATTAATAGATTACCTCAAAGTATGTTATTTTAAAGGCTAATCCCATCCTGATGTAATTTTGTAATGTGGAAAGCTCTGAGCTCTTTTACTGGAGCTGCTTGCTTAATTTAGATTAAAATTCTACCATAAAAGGATTAGAGAGTGTGGGCCTGTGCTAAGAAAGGATGTACTAAATATGTTGAGGTATTTTTCTACTCCCAGCTTCTTTTTGAGAGTGCATACTAAAATTTGGATGTGTTCTGCTGCCTTGCAATGTGCCACGTAACATCACGATGTGCCGAGGGGATGTTTTGGGTTGATCTTGGGAGCGTTATTTAAATACGTTCCAGCAGGATTCTGAGTTTTCTTGTTCTTTCTAGAGAGAAGAATTCAGTGCTGGACTGCCCTGAACACTCCCCACGGTGCAGCTTCAGGGAGCAGCTTGGTTTATCTGACGTGAAGAAGGAGGCACATGTGCAGTGAGCCAAGAGGACATGGGCTTTCAGTGCACCTGCAGCAATGATCAGGTACTGGCAAGTTGTTATTTAACCCCAGGAACTGGTCAGGAACTCAAGGGTGTGAAACAATGACGTGCTCACTCCTGCAGTTGTCTGAAATCTTAAATGTGCTTTGCTTTTAGGAGCGAGGCGAGTTCACCCTCTGGTTTTGTGTTGTGTCCAGAGCCCTTTCCCTGCTGGGTTTGCTCACCTGCAGGCTCCTCATGGAATCCAGCTCCCATGGGAGGGAATAGGGAAGGACAAGTGCCAGAGGGGTGTTTGCATAGGCTGGGGTGAAGGTAATCTTGGTGTTTAAACTTTTCAGGTGTGACTTGGACTCTGAAAGCGTTTGAATCTCTTTGGGTGTATTGAGGGGATAAAGTTGAGGTATTTTTCGTTGTTGGAAGTACTTTTTCGTGGTGTTTCCTTGGTGATTGGCTGGAGAATGCGGATTTTTCAGAGGAATCCAGACTGTTGTAGCTGGAGTAGAGACACCAGTGAAGTTCCAGAAAATGCAGAGATTTGTGGTCTGCTTTGAGATCTGAGCAGGTTATAGATTTAATAATGGGAGAAGGATTAGGGTTGGGGTCTTTAAGATGGCTTTTGGTCTATGAGTGTCCTATTCTTCCCCTCTGTTCTCAAAGTGAGTCTTTATGGTCTGTTGCCACTTTTGAAATGTGATGTAAATGGCAGGAGGTTTCTTTCTGTCTCGTGTTCTCTTATCTTCTAATGCATCTGTGTGAACCTGAGATAATTTTGTAATATACATTGCCTTTGATGTTAGCATGATGCTTAATGTGGTTTGGATATTGCTGTTTCTAAGAATATTTCATCTGTTGATTGTGTCCTATACAAAATTTTTTTTAGCTTATCTATTTCATGTATTAAAAATTAAATGGTAAAACTTGTGTGCTAGCAAACTGCATATAGCAGTGTGAAGAACTGAAAAGGAGCAAATTCTGTAAAAATTCTCTAATCTTTCCAACTAAGGTTAGGAGAATAAAAAATAGTTTCTTGTTTTCTTTGTAGATGCTAGCTGGAAAATCATTTGTTCTTGTCTGTAACTAAAATGATCTACAGTTTTCTTCAGTTAGGGAGTGGATATGTGTAATGCAAGGAAACATTTAGTTGTTTCACTCGGGGAGACTGAAAATGGTTTTGTTCTGCACATTCTCTTTACGTTTGTGTGATTTGTGTGATCTTTGTCGTACGGAGAAGCTTCGTGCAGAGAAAGCTGCAGAGATGTAATTTTAGGATGTGCCTGAGCCACCTCTGAGTGGGATTGCAGGAAGATGTGAGATGGAGCTACATTTTGGGATTCATTTCTTAATATAAAAGCTGTCAATTTTTACCCATTCTATGAGGAGTGGTGGGTGCTGGAGAGGCAGAGCATCCATATATTTAGACTCTGGCTGTCTCTCGTTGCGAGTTATAATTAAGGTGAAGTATTTTGCTGAAGAAGTAAATTCTCCCTTGATTTGAACCTGGTTTCATCTCAGTGAAAGCAATTAGTCGCCTGAGCCACCCTGTCCTTGCTTCATCAATGACAATTCATCAGTTGCTTCATCAACATTGCTGCTTCTAATTTATCTGATCGTTGTGGTTAATAGACAAGGCACTCTATATGGGAGTGCTCTGTGCATGGGAGGAGTGGATAGAGGAGGCTTGAAGATAGAAGGGCTGGCCCTAAGGGGGACTGTGACATTTGTAGAGGACTGGGGGTTATAAAACACTGCTGTGAAGCCCCAGAAGGGTCCCAGGGTAAGGTTTCAGCTGATGTGGTTGTGAACGTGGCTCTCATTCGTTCTCTCTCAGCCATGACTTGAATTCACTGATGTGATGCTGATTTTTCCCTGGATGGGCAAATCCTGGGCAACCCGAAGCTGGTGGTTGGAGCTGTAGTATCAGGACATTGGCTAAGTTTTATGTGCCCTTTTGGTTGTCCCTTAAGGTCAGCTCTGTGACTTAAATCAGAGAGTATTTGGTGTGGCGGGGGCTTTGTGGTGCCTTCTCCATCATATGCTGCATTGCCCAGCACTGTGCTTGAAAACAAGGATCAAACCCCACTGCTGACAAGTTTAGTGTTCTCAACCCCAATATTCTGCTAATCATGACTGTTACTATTTCAAGTGCTGTCATAACTCCTCCTGAGGTGAGTGATTCTGCGTTGTGATACCTCAGACAGACCAAGAGGGCTCCTCCATGGTCTGCAGGGGAGCAGGAGACTCTTGGGAGAGGGGAGAAAAAGCAGTGAGCTCTGAAGCCAAACCTACTGGAGGCTTCATGAATGATGTGAGTCTGGGAGGGAGATGCTGAGCAGGTTTTGTTTGCCTTGAGAATATTTACATAGGGTTGATCCACTGTTCCTGAAGGAGTTCTATCACAGTGCTACAGAGAAAACTGTTAGTGCTTAATATAGAGCCTTAGTCTGGTAGTCTCTTGACCTATAAATGCTTGAATTTTGCTATCTTAATGGGCTTTCAGCAGTTTTTGGAGTTTTTTGGTACAAATCCGAATAATATTCCTTGGAGAGGTTGTGTAACGGTAACAGGGATGGAAAGATTTAATTTGGTGAGACCTTGTACTGCAAAAGATCAGAAGAATTTTTTAGCTTCTGCTCTTGCTACAAAGACTTCAGTGCTTGGATATCTTCACAGAAGAGGCCTGAGAGGTTCCAAAATTTCATCTTGACCTTTTGCATCAAGGCATCATCAGTATTGCTGGACAGTTTTTGAGATGATTTTTTGTCCTTTACCTCCTAACAGAGGAGGCAGCTCAAGTTCTTTAGGCTGGTGCTTCACTATTTACCACTTTGAAAAGTTCTTCTTGTGGCCTAAGGAAATTTTTCTTGCTGCAGTTTGAGTCCATTACTTTTCTTACTCACTGTCGACGTGGAGAATAAGTTCCCTCTTTCTTTGCAGAAACCATTTCTATATTTAATGGAAATATATCATATCTCTTCTCTTTTTGCTCTGTTCAGACTGAGCCACCTCAGTGAGTTACCTTACTCATCCCTCATAGCTCACCCAACTACCTGTCTGTCCTTTTTTTTTAGTTCTGGTGTGGTTTCTCTCTTTCCTGACAAGCCTGACCCAAAAATGGACTTCACCAGAGGCTTCATCAAAACTGAGAGGATCAGGAATTTGTGCTCCTGTCAATGGACAGAAGTTGCCTTGTTTGTGACAACTGGATATTTATAATTTGTTCTCAAACTGTGATCCTCTCCATCCCCAGCCCTTATCTACAGCACAGCTGCTCCAAGTTGTTTCTATATTTATGCAGGTGATTTCTTTTTTTTTTTCCTCTGAACAACACTTGACCTTGGGGAATTGAGCTGCATTTTTTAATCACTTCTTCAGTTTCATTAATTCCTCTCTGCAAAGGCTCCCCATTTGTGTGCCTTTTTATGGGAATAACATAAATTATAGGACTTCTCTTTCCACATGCTACTGAGGTTTTGTTGTCAGGTCTCACTGCTTTTGCAGGCTCCCCACCTGGAAGAGGAATGGTGACGTTGGCTCACTTGGCTTTACAAGTGTCCCTTATAGCTGCTATTTATATATACTTATTTTTAAAATTTTTTTTTTCAGTGTTTCTCACTGCTGGCAACTCTATTGGAGTTAATTATTGTTATGGAAGGCTTGATTTCAGCGTGTTCTCTGAGAGGAATATTATTTTTGTGCCTGTGTCCCTGAACAAATAGATCTGCTTTTCTCACATGGCCTCTGCTCAGCTGGGCCACAGCCACTGGAAATCTGGGGAGGCTGTTGTTCACTTGCTGCATTAACTGCCCTTTCAGCAGCTTTAATGTCTCTTATGTAGCACTCTTTCCTTCCTGGTAGAGTTCCAGGACTTCTCCTTATGTCTCAGGAGCTGGGCAGTCTTTCTTTCAGAAGGTAAAAGTCTGCAAAGGTAGTTTTTTGAACTTGCCCAGCCTCATGAGTGCATGTTAACACTACAGTGATTTGTCTCTTCCCAGACTTACTGTGGTGAGGAGCCTGTGAGGCACAGCTCATCTGGAAAAATATGGGAAACCACCCAGAAACTCCTCAAAAAAAGAATCTATACCAACTTCGTGCTTAAACAAGAGACCACATAATGCAATTTGTCTTGTTATTGCCTTTTAGTGTCTTTTATTTTGTTTTTAGTTCCTGGAGTGTCAGTAAAGGCAAGACAAGGTTAAAGGAGGTCGTTGTACAGTGTTATGTGCTCCTACCCATCGTGGCTTGCAGAGCACACTCAGTCAAACACAACTGGCAACAGCATGGAAGGTGGTTTTACTGTAGAGAAACCTCACTTTTGGGTAAGAGGAGTTGGTAGCACTTTGGTTTGAAGAGTGTGCAATGGTGGTACAAGTGTCAGTGAGTTTGCTTGAATCGCTTTTAAGGGAAACCCTTTTGACAAGGGGGGCTTTCCCTCAGGGTGCTGTGTGTCTGTGAGTCTGTGTCCATCTCCAGCTCTCTGCTTTCATTTCTAGCAGACCCAGATGTCTTGCACATGCCCCACTTTGGGCTTTTTCTCCTTTCCTTTGGTCACAGCTGATGGCTCTTGGCACTGGTCCTGTGGAACTGCAGTCCCATTCACCTGCCTTGGCAGGGAGGACTGTCCAGAGTCTCAGATTTGGGGACATTCTGGTTAAAATCTTGATCTGATTCTATGATTCTGATTTTTTTTCCTTCTTTCCTGTCACCCACCCCACTGCTGAAGGTTAGGACACTCAGAAGAGGGGTGTTTACCTACAGGGTTGGAAGGGTGGATCCGAGATTTCACAAATGTTGAGAACTTGACAATGAAATGCTCCTCTCACCACCTTATCTATGCCAATATTTACCCAGACTTTTGCCTGTTGGAGAATCATTTGCTGTCTCACTTCACCTGTTTGCTCATCCAGGTAGAAGTTTTCACAGTGCTGTCCCTCTTGTCCCCCTAAGTGTGTGCAGAGTAGATTTATGAACAGCCCTGGTGCTGTATAATTATGAAATTAACCTTTGAGTCACTGCCATCTCTCTTCTAATTTTCTGCTGTAGTCA